GGAATATAAGAACTCTTCGTTGATCACGTTCAGTGAACTCATTCTCTATTGAGCACCTACGTACTTGTCTTGATGTCACACACACCAATGACTCGAGACTAGTCACTCTCCCTGAGAGAAGACACAGTACGTACTGATCTTAACGGACTGTCAATGCCCAATTGGCAATCCTATGATCAGGAACATTTAGGATGTGTCTACGAAAGAATGGTCTCATTAATCTAACTTCATTAGATTGCATTCTCCCAATCACATATTCCTTGGACTTTATCGTTTAAGCATATAACATTTATATGAGACGGCTCAAACAATAATCTTTGCCCTTTATATGTAAACTAGATTAGTTTAACATGTGAAATGTCCGTAAAGTATCATCATATGATTGGCTTTAGAGCACATTTCCAACAGACACACCAAAGAGCACAGGGATCCAATTTACTATTATGAATCCTGTGAATATGAACATAAGCAACACATCCAAACACCCGAGGAGTAAGAGTGTTGGTAGATACAACAAGAACATGTTCCATCAATACTTGTAGTGGAGTACAAAATTCTACAACCCGTGATGCCATTCAATTAATTACATACATTGCATATGTGAAGACTTCGGGCAAAAAACGCTTAGGGACGAACATACCAATAAGCAATGCATGAGCATTTTCCAAAATATGACGATTTTTTCCTTCTGCAACCCCATTTTGTTGTCGGGTGTGAGGACAAGTCGTTTCATGGAAGATTCCTTGATCATGGAAAAAAGAAGATAGCTCATAGTTAACATATTCACCTCCATTATTAGAACGAAGAATCTTAATAACAGAGGAATATTGAATAGCAACCATCTGAGAGAAAGACCGAATAATCATACTAACATCACTTTTAGTTTCAACACATTTATCCATGTCATACGAGTGCAATCATCCACAAACGTAACAAACCACTTAACCTCTGAAACGGTACTAATAGGTGAAGGCCCCTAGACATTTGAATGCGAAAGATCAAATGGAAGCAATCTTTTAATCATACTAGGAGAAAATAAAGCACGATGGCTCTTCGCAAGAATACATACTTCACAATGCAAGTCTGATTCTTTTATTTCATGAAATAAACTAGGCAACATACGCCTTAAATAACCAAACGAAGCATGCCCTAACCGATGATGCAACAACCAAACTTCTTGCAGATTACTAGTACGGGTTGCTCGAATTGCATTAGCTCTGCCAGGAACGACGCCATCCACATAATACAACCGCTCTTTCTTAGTGCCACACCCAATTATCTACTTGGTATGAATATCCTAAAGTAAACAAAAAAAAAAAACGAATACATAAGTACAACACAATCCAATTGTTCAGTGACTTAGGGAATAGATAATAAATGATGAGACAATGATCGAACAAGCAAGCAATGGTAAAGAGAGAGGGACAACGTGAGGTCCACAGTGCCTGCCCCAATAACCTCGACATTGGTGCCATTCGCCGTTGCTACACACTTTCGACGAGTTGTTGTCATACACGTAAATAACTTTTTATCAAATGTTATATGATCAATTGCACTAGAGTTTAGAATCCAACCTGTATGATGCTTAGTATCGGAGGCTAAGAGAACACATCCAACAGTACTTGTATTGGACGATGATTCACTGGGATTGGTCATAGTCAACAAAGTTTGACTCGATCTCGTTGAGTGGGCATGGCCTCCTTGTTACTTGGTGTGGCAACAGCTACAGACTCATGGCTCCCACTTGCTCCATTAGCAGCTCGCTCATTTGCACACAATTTTTTCTTCAATTCAGGGAACCATTTAAGAACTCTATGTTTTTTAAAACATGTATCTTTCGTATGACATGTTTGATCGCAAAAAGTACACTTCAAATCATCTTTATTTTCTCGAGTAAATGGGCGAGAATTTGTTGACAATGACGAGCCATAGGACTGGCTAGAAGAAGGTGGCTGTGACACCACAGCCATGGAGGGTGTCGGGGTTCCTCCTTAATTTCCTATGGTACTTCCTCTAATCATAGTAGCATGGCGTTGTGCTTCCCGCCTAACAATAGAAAACACTTCCTCGACGGATGGTAGAGGTTGAGTTCTCAAAATATCACTACAGAATACACTCCATCTTGATTGGTCTTCTTTGATCTAGTTCTTGCCAGACAGCTTTAAGATCGGCATAATATACACCAATAGGCCGCCCTTCTCGTCGAAGTCGGAACGACTTTACCTTCAACTCATAAATCTAAGAGATATCAGACCCATCATAATATGTTCGAGCAACTTCTTCCCACACTTCCTTAGCAGTATGGAGATGGATGAAAAAACCCATGATGGTAAAATCCATGGAATTAATCAACCGCCCTTTCACAATAGCGTTCCTAGTTTCCCATGTTTCATACTTTGCACTTTCTTCCTTGGGTTCCTTGATGCTTCCAGTCACGAACCCCTTTTTTTCCATGTCCAACAATATGCATCTCTAATACTTTGGACCAAAGGGTATAATTTGATCCATTAAATTTTACGGTACTTGGTATGCTAGAAGCATCACTCTAATTGCAACCGGACTCAAAATTGAGTTGTTGGTCGACCCATGTGATCCACCCTCCAATTTCAGCCATGATCCTTCTTTAACACCTGCCATTGATCACGCATAGTCACAACCACAAAGCACATCAAGCAATACTCCCACAGTTTCGGTTTTGCTACAAAGAATGTAGCAAGAAACATGAATTTGCAAGATTGAATACGCAGCAACAGCAGTAGCACGGTAGAACTTGGTTTTTTTTAATTTTTTTATTTTACTGTTTAGAGTTACGGTTAGGCTCATATGCCAAATAGAAATTTATGGCTTAATTTTCATGTATTGCATAATTTTGGTTTATAAGTACATACAGTCCTTGTTCTTTCAGAAAACAAAAAAAAAAAAAAAAAACACAAAGAGATATCCTTCCTAATAAAAGACTCTAATATTTATACAATATTTACATTCCTATTTTCCTAAAGATTACCGACGCCAATAATGTGATGTTTAGAAACAGATGGAGAACATTTTCTTTTGCGTCATATTACACGTGAACTATCAATTTGTGTTGGAAATAAACTCTATCACATGGTGGAATTGGATGCCCAGGTGATTGAAATTAGGATCCATGACTATTCTATACTCCCATCTAGAAGGGGCCAGAGGATTGCTGGAGATGCAAATTAATGGACCACCTCCCACCACCACCCCAAGTTGATCGAAGTAGATATGTATTATTTATATGAATAAGGCCATTAAGGTGGAAAGTTTCACGAAAATATAGCTCTAAGTTACCATATATATGTTTGAATTTAATTCAAAGTCCTTGACAACTTTTATATTGTAGAACATGATGCATGAGATTGGGTAATCATGAGCTAAATATTTGATTATTTGGCCATCTGATATGAATTTCACATGGATGAGCTCATGATTGGGATTTTGATATATGGGGCAAAAAACTTGAAAATATTTAGGTGCGCGTACCCTTTGTTTTATACGCAAATTAGATTTAACATGTATTAAAAAAAAATCTTTACTAATTATATGATATATTTCATTAGTTGTATCGAACTATGATTGACAGTTAATGAGAAATGACATTTTGCAGTCAAATGTACATAGAGAAATAACTTGCATGGGTGCATATTCCTTGTTTCTTAACGTGATAGGTTGTGAGGAGATAGGAAGAGAAGGTAACCAATAGGTATGTGCAAGGTTCCCTCACATAATAGGGTTAATATGGATTCAAAGTGATAGATTGTCCTGATGAATACATATTTTTGTTTAATTATGACGTCTCGGGTTCTAACTCTCTTCTATCCTCTTAGTGTAATTTATCCTTCGTGTGAACAACGGAGATATATTTTGAATTTGGACAAAATTAGAATTTATAAATTGATTTACACAAATTTCCAGTTTGGATTCATACAAATAAATGACAAACACACATTATTTTTAGTTTCTTACATACCCATGTTTAATTATGGCAGTTAATTTCATTTACTTGATTCAAGCCAATAATTAGAAAAAAAAAGCGTGAGTTTGAATTTTGTCAGCTTTCTAATCTTATATCTAATCCAACAAATCTATTTTATGACAAAAAAAAAAGTGTCACATTACTTTAAAATTTCCGTGGATCTCCAAGACAGTGCACCATTCCATATTTCAATATTATATGTACCGGACGAGATTCGTGTTTGAGCCACAACAATATGAATTGAAGAAAACAAGGGTTCTTGTTGGCTTTGAAGACATTACAAAAATATTGGCTCGCCATTTCCAATATGTTTCCATCACCGAAGAACTTGTTAGATCATCAATGCATGTCTTGCCTTGGGTATAAGTATCGGTCAACACAAGTCGATTTCGACATCTATAAGATATCAGAGTTGGAGCGTATTAAACATAAAACCTAAAATTTCGAACGTCAAATTTCTAAGTTTAAATTTCATTTAAATAGTTGTTATTTCTATATTTTTATAACTGAGTTTAGAAACAAAAAATAAAAACCCACCTATGAGTGTCATCCTTGTTACTTTCTTCACAATTACCACCACTATCACTCACCATCATCACTGCCACCACCACAACCTATCACCAATTCCTTGAATTTCAGAACTTCAAATCTCGAATAAGATTCAAGTTTGTTCCAACACTAAATTTTAGGGTAGGATTCTCTTCTTTTTTTCTCCCCTCTTCTTTCACTTTCTTAATCGTAACCGTTTAAATAAGATAAAAAGAAAAGGAAGATAAATTTGGAGTGGACAGGCCCGAAAATTTTATGTTAGGAAAAATCATAATTTCCAATCCAACTTAAAACCTAATTTTTATTTTCTTTTCAAATAAAAATAGAAACGCTTTTATCAATGTCAAACCCTCCCTTATCTTTTTTGTTGGGGTAGGGGGAAGAAATAAAATATTATTAAATTCGAATAGATATGTTGGTGGTCAACCCCTTTCACTCACCACTCCGTCCAAACGCCGTTAACACTAAAACGACCCGCCGTTTTCGTTTCCCTGTCCTAAGATCCAAAATCCTCCCAAAACATCGTTGACCCCCAATTGACCGAAAAATGGGTAACAACTGCAGTAGCGGTACTCTCCCCTCCTCCGCCGAAGACCCCGCCGACCACCACCACCGCCCATCAAACGGCGCCGTTCGCATCCTCCCTCCCAATGCCTCCGCCCCATCCAAACCCAAACCCCACACACCCCCAACCACCACCTCCGCTTCCGGCACCGCTCCCATCGGCCGGGTCCTGGGCCGGCCCATGGAAGACGTCCGGTCCTCCTACACCTTCGGCCGTGAGCTCGGCCGCGGCCAATTCGGCGTCACCTACCTCGTCACCGATAAGCAGACAAAGCAGCTGTTCGCCTGCAAATCCATCGCCACCCGCAAGCTCATCAACCACGACGACGTCGAGGATGTCCGCCGCGAGGTCCAGATCATGCACCACCTCACCGGGCACCGCAACATCGTGGAGCTCAAGGGAGCTTACGAGGACCGCCACTCCGTGAACCTGGTCATGGAGCTCTGCGCCGGCGGCGAGCTCTTCGATCGGATCATGGCTAAAGGCCACTACTCCGAGCGAGCTGCGGCCAATCTCTGCCGGCAGATCGTCACCGTGGTTCACTACTGTCACTCGATGGGGGTTATGCATAGGGATTTGAAGCCGGAGAATTTCTTGCTTTTGAGCAAGGACGAGGACTCGCCGCTCAAGGCCACCGATTTCGGGCTCTCGGTGTTCTTTAAGCCAGGTCCGTTCAACTTTGGTGGTGCGAATTTCATGTGTACTTTTGTGCAGGATTTAACATCTCTTGTATAAAACTCCTAAAATCTTGAAAGTCCGAAACAAGCAATGCGTTTGTTTCAACTTGTTTGTTGATTGCATAGTTCGTAAAGCAATCGGTTTCCGTGGAACAGCATTTGCATTTATTTGGTTGATGAACTTGAGCTGGAGCTGACAAAGATTTTTCCATGTACCCGAAACACGAACTGAAATACCACGTGTCGTAAATCGTAATGGAGAGGAACTATATACTTTTTAGTGTCCCTCCACTTGTACACGTGACGTACTAGCTCGTATTCTGGATACACTAAAAAATCTCACGAAGCTGACAAACTTGTGAAGAAAATACTGGATTAGGAATTTGAAGGGTTTAAGCCCCCTGCTCTTCATGAGTTATATTACTACTTCCGGTTAATTTCTTTCGGGATTGGGCTCGTCCCAAATGCTTATGCGAATATCAAATTATTGTTGGGAGGCAAGCATCTTGTTCTGGTGGTTAGAAAATTACTAGGTACAATTTATTGCTTGCCTTTTCGCTCATTGCACCAAAAAGTGCAAAATCGTACATGCCTACTCTGCTTGTAAATCATGAATAACTAATAAGCATGTTAGGGTTGCCACTTGACCGAGTGTCGTTACTCCTATATCTCTGTATTTTGAATTTGGAAACTTGTTCCTTGCCCTCATATTTTCTGTCATACAAAACTAGGACTTTACAGTTCATTTTCGAGTGCAGGAGATGTATTTAAGGATCTTGTGGGAAGTGCATATTATGTTGCTCCTGAAGTGCTGCGTCGTCGTTATGGAGCTGAGGCTGATATTTGGAGTGCAGGGGTGATACTATACATTCTACTTAGTGGGGTCCCACCATTCTGGGGAGGTATGGCTCTGCTCTTCTTCCTTGAGAGCAACTGAATTTGGAGATTTTTATTTTTTTAACAATTGCCATGGAGTGGTTTCTATTAGTGAGTAGAAATGCGGAAAACTATTACTCATAAAATGGGATTTTCCCATCCATGTATACATTCCTTCATGAATGCGTCACTTGTTTCTCGGCTGATACTATAAAATCTCATGATGGTTTCCTACCTTGATTAGCTTAATTATTTTCATTCAATTCTGATAGGTTGAAGTTTTTTACTTTAATAAACCGAGTAATAAATAATTACTTTTCATCCTCCCTAATAAGCGAATTGACTGGAAGTCTGCATTAAGTCAACACTCAGAAGCAGCAAGAATTTTAGGATATTACCCATTTTTAGTTTATCATGTTGGTACAAGTTGCCACTTAAAGCGGTCATCAGTTCCACTTTTCTAAGTTTTATTTCATGCGCAGAGAATGAACAAGGTATCTTTGATGCTATCCTTCGGGGACATCTTGACTTTGTGTCTGATCCTTGGCCTTCCATTTCCAGCAGTGCCAAAGATCTTGTGAAGAAAATGCTCCGAGCTGATCCTAAGGAACGACTTACAGCAGCTGACGTCCTGAGTAAGTTTCACAGTGACATATTTCGTAGACATGGAATAAGTTTCACAGTGACATATTTCGTAGACATGGAATACTTTAAAATATTGCATTTTTTTTCATTTATTGTTTTACTGTTTCTATAACTCTTGATGATTCACTCTCCCATGCCTTTCCCTCTCGCTACCCTACCTACCCTCCTCCCCAAAACCAAAAAAGTATAAAAATGGAATGGTTGAGAACTTTTGTGCCTACTTTTCTCTTTGAAGAAGTGGGCGTTATTTTGGATAACTTGTAGTTGTGATCATGCTCTAGGAATCATATGATATCATCTCCTTGTTGGCATCATATTAACAAATTAAAGGATGAAGATGCTCCTGGTCACAATTCATCTGGCTAGCCATATGGTTCATCAGAAGTAGTGGAGGATCAAGAGAACAGTACGAAGAAGCTCAATGGATACAGTGTTGGGTAATTAATAATTATTCTGAGTAGTTAGGTGTAGTATCATTATTATATTTGCTAGCTATCTCGGTTCCCTCTGTAGTTTGACTTATTATGTTTGCTTGTTCCTGCTATTAGATTTTCATGCTTCCTGTGTTAAACATTCTCCATGCATTGATGCTTTTTCTTAGTCTTTATTGCATCTGGCTTGAAATATTCTACAGTTTCTGAACTGCTCAAAACACTATGCAGGTCATCCATGGATGCGGGAAGATGGTGATGCATCTGATAAACCTCTTGATAGTGCTGTTCTATCTAGAATGAAACAGTTCAGGGCAATGAACAAACTCAAGAAAGTAGCATTGAAGGTGAGAGTATCTTTTGTCAACCTCATTAGCATCCTCTTCATGCACTGAAATGAGGCTGGTGGAAATGAATCCTAGGGCTCGGGCATGGTGCTGGTCCAGCCAATATCATGAGACAGAAATGTGTCAGTATTGTCAAGCTTGTTTCTTGACCAAATATTGAATAAAGTTGTGCTTTATTTCTTTCTTGCAGGTAATTGCAGAAAATCTTTCTGAAGAAGAAATCATAGGCTTGAAGGAAATGTTCAAATCCATGGACACAGATAACAGTGGAACAATTACATATGAAGAGTTAAAAGCTGGCCTTCCGAAAATGGGTACCAAGCTCTCTGAGTCTGAAGTGAGACAGTTGATGGAAGCGGTAATATCTCCAGTCTTCTTACTCTTAGTCCAACATGAGCTTCACGATTCCAGTGTGTTTGGTAATTTTTTTAGTTAATAGAGAAGAGAAAGAAAAGATATGAGAAACAAAAAAAAGAAGAGAAGAGACTTTGGATTTCTCTTAATCGTGCTGAATAGTTACTGAGAAAAGTTGTGAGGAAACATTAGTTGACATTTTAGTAGTTAAAAATAATGCGAATATCATTTCCCCCTCCAATCTCTCCATTTTTTAAGGAAAGTGAGTGAGGAGAGGAAATACCACTTCAAAATTATTTTTGAAACATCATTTCTCTTCACATTTACTCATCCATTTCTTTACTTTTAAACAAACTGTTGTTCCAAACTTCCTGCTACAGTCTTTGTTAACCTATAATCAGCTCAGTCTACATCGTTTAGCTGCATGGCTTGTTAAGATACTTGATATGTTATTCTTCAATTGGATGATCAGTTCCCTAATCCTAGATGGTTGAAAATTTCTGGTTTCATTTTCAGGCTGATGTCGATGGAAATGGAACAATTGACTACATCGAGTTTATAACAGCTACCATGCACATGAATAGAATGGAAAGAGAGGATCATTTATACAAAGCCTTTGAATATTTTGACGAAGACAAGAGCGGGTAACAGTTTACTTCATTGTCAGTAACATAGTTATAGCTGTGTTTTTCTGTTCTCAATTTATGTCAAACTATCATGATTTAAAAATATGTTTTGACCTCTTCTCATTTTAGGTACATCACGGTGGAAGAGTTGGAGCAAGCGCTTAAGAAGTATAATATGGGTGATGAGAAAACAATCAAGGAAATCATTGCAGAAGTTGACACAGATTGTGTACGTACCTTATCTATCTTCGTAACTTATATATATATATATATAGATACGTATTTTCTTCTCTCTCTCTCTCTCTCTCTCTCTCTCTCTCTCTCTCTCTCTATCTATCTGTCTATCTATCTATGTTTGTGTGTGTGTGTGTGTGTGTAATTTTGATATCACTATTTTCCTCCTATTTACCATACATGGGAGATTAACAATTACATCAAGGAACATATTGAATATCATGTCGAGCAGAAGACTTTGCTTGCACTGTTGATTTTGGCCTCAAAATTGTTGTTGATACCTGACACCAAAACTGTAATGGCATTATAAGGGGACAGGGCGATAAGATAATTCCCGTGTTCTATACCAAAACATGTGAATTTTAATGGAAAAAAAAAAAAAAGAAATCCTGTCACTGGCTGCACCTTATCATCTCATAGTGACACCATTGCACTGTACGTACGAACAAGGCGATAGACTAGTACCAGCTTGTTCTTGTTTATATATTATGAGTTTTTGAAGCCCTGATTTCTGCCGCAGTTAACGAATTCCGAAATTATTTGCAGGATGGAAGGATTAACTATGATGAGTTTGCAGCCATGATGAGGAAAGGCAATCCTGAGTTGGTCACAAATAGAAGAAGAAAATAAATTGAAGACAGTTTGTATGTTCTGGGCTGCCTTAACCAGGTTTCTTAATTTTACGGGTTCCTGTTACCCCTTTAGATATAATATATAACTTACAAACCCAATTTAGCTGGTTAGCAAGTCCTTGGCCTGCCCTTCAGCGGGAGAGTTGACCTCGATTACGTTAGTTTGCAGGATAATACTACTGCTGTTTGTAGGGGGGGGCCGCGACTAATCCAGAGACTTGCCTTGGCGCCCATCTAGACCCGCCCAGGCACCCGCCAGGCTAGGTGGCCTTTTTTTTTTTTTTTTTTTTTTTCTGGGGGTATCATTCTATTTAGCATAAGCGGGTTCTCTAACCCCAACTCCCACATGTTAAAGAAAACAAATTGAATAAAGTTATGTTATCCCCCCTATTTTTTTCATCTATTTCGCAATTTTTACCTTGTAACTGAAAATGTTGGTTGGCTCTTGAACCAGACTATGAGTAAGGCAGTATCAAAAGCTGGAGAAGCTAGAAATGTAATGATTTGGATTTGGATTTTGCCTAGATTATTTTATTTGGTTCATGACCGGTTCAAGCAATTCAAGGTTTAGCAACTCCAATTGGATAACAAGTAGTATCTTAAAGAAAGAAATGCAAAACCAGCTAGGGCTTGAGCGGATTGAGCATGTGACTGATGAACAGAAGTGGCGTTTACACTTGTTATGTTATTTTTGTTACGATGAGAGGCGAAGTTGAGAGGGGGAAGAGAGGTTTGTTGAAGAAGGAAGACAATGGCTTTGGTTCAGCCAATCTAAACCCTAAAACACCCATTGTTGCATAACTTTCGTTATGATGTAACCCTTTTAATATAGCAGAAGCCTCTCTTTCGTTACTTGCCAAACAAGGATGCTTAATTAATTTGGTGCCAAAAGTGTTATTTCGTAAATAACAAAGGACGATTCTGCAAATAAACCTTTAGCACCCCACAGACTTTTTGGGGGGCCCACTCAAACATAAAAACTGAAAACACCGAGAAAATCCCGGCGGCGAAGGGGACCCCGCCAGATATAGATCTCCGTTACAACGTTCGACTCTTTTGAATTCGATCCATTTCATCTTTTAATTTTTCTACATTTTTTTTTAATTTTTTTTGATTCTCTCGTCATTTTCTTGAAGTTCAAGCGAGCAGGAGGATGCAGAGCGGATTGTCGAGGTCCATCCCCGGCTGGCCACGGTAAAAACCTCACTTTTCTGTTTGTTTCTCGAGAAAATTCACCCAGAAAATGCAAGAAAATTCTGTGTAATCCAACCCATTCCTTAGTTTATGCGAAATTCCTGATTTCGTCACGCTTCATTAAATTCCTCATTAATTTAGTTCAGTTGGACTGAAATTGTAAGCAAAGGACAGAAAGGGGATACGAAATTTAGTGTTCGAATAGAGAAATTGATTGTGTGCATTGCTAGAATTGTGTTTAATTAGTTAAATGTTTTATGTTTAGCTTTAAAGATTGAAAATTTATGCACTGTGTGTTGTTTAAACAGGTTAACAGAAGAGGTCAATGTAGGCAAAATGCCCTTTTCGTGTATAGGAGTTCCGGTTTTCTTTTCGGTGTTTTGAGCATTCCCCCTCTTTATGTTTGTAAAATTACCTTTTCGGGAGGGTTGCTCAATTACCAAACCGAGGATACGATATTTGGGGTGTTTACAGTTATCTTTTGGACTCTTCCTCTTATTTCGGTGCTAAAATGTGTCATCGTCATGTTGAGCAGCAACGACAATGGTTAAGGTAATAGGTGATTACACTTGTCCTCACTGATGTTGTGAACCATTTTGCTTGTTTTGTGGATTTAAGGTTGTATTGGTTGGGTCATTTGCAGGCGGCGTTATTGCATTATAGGCCCTCCTTTGCAGAAATGCGAAATTCTGTTTGCTGCCTAATTATCAGGCATCTGATGAGGAGATCTCTACGTATCACTAGCCCCGTTGTTCCAATACAAACAGGCCCACTTCCCCATTGAAAAGGTTTATTGAGAGACATAAAATTGCAAAAACCTGTCTACTTCTTATAGTTTTATGTGGAGCTTCTTTGGTGATTTGTGTCGCCTGCGGTATCGGGCGAATTTTCTTTGTTTGACGAACATCTTTGATCCTTTCAAATATTCCATATATTTCAATGGGACTTGGAACGATTGATTTTGTAGGTTCGTACATGGTTCTGTGTGCCATTTGTTCTCTCTTTAACAACCTGTGCTAACAAGTGTCCGTTCATTTGCAGTCTTTGCATCTGTTGAAGGGCTAAATTCCAAGAAATGGATTTTCATAATGGTGAGTTCTTTCCACATGAAATTTTTTCGTCACTCAGTAAAATTTATCTCATGCCATTTTAGCTGCTAACACTTCTACACAACCCAGGTGTTGTGGTTCTTGTTGCCTGTATTTTATTGGTTGCCCTTTTTATTTTGCAACACCATGGCATCCACAAGTTGGCCTTCATATTCACTCCAGTTATGATCCTTTGGCTACTGTTAATTGCTGCTGTTGGAATCTACAATATCATTGAGTGGAATCCAAGAGTATATCAGGCTCTTTCTCCATATTATATTTACAGAGTCTTCCAGACGACAGGAAAAGATGGCTGGCTTTCTCTTGGAGGAATTCTTTTATGTGTGAGTGGTAAGTAGAGTACTTGCATTTTTTTCTCCATTAGCTTTTGCTTCTCATGATCGTGCAATGTTTGTTGATTCCAGGAACTGAAGCCATGTTTGCGGATCTTGGCCAAATTATGTCTTTCTGTTGGTGCTACACTCTGGGTTGACCATGAAGTAGCGATGAAAAATAATACCATTGTTCGTTTTCAATTGTTTTCAACTTTTTGCAACCCAGGGTTGATTGCTTTGGGATTCACCATCATGGTTTGAAAAAACAGGTTTTAACATTACTGGACAGAAATACGTTTGCCATTATAAGTGAAACTTATGTAGGGATGTGTAGTTATTTTTAGACGTTGCATGAGCGGTAGGTCTCGGGTTCGAGACTTGGGAGCAGCCTCTCCATAAATGGAGGTAAGGCTAGCCGACATTCACCTCTCCCAGACCCTGCGTAAAGCGGGAGCCTTGTGCACTGGGTACGACCTTTATATGCTGCATGTGTTTCGAAATGAAATAGAACTATGAAACTTGTTTTTTGGAGAAATATACACTGGTATAGGCTTGGTCTAACCTACATGGAGATTGATATGTCGGGAGAAAAGCACTCGTGGTTTGATCGTAATAATCACAATTCGTCTAGCTTTTTTTTTTTTTTTTTTTTTTCTCGTTCTGAAGAGCAGCCATAACCGGCAAGAGTATCTCTAAGTTCTGTACCTCTCATTTCTGATTGTTGTCCAATGAATTGTTATTCAAACAACTTCTGAAATCTGAAAATTTTGTTTTATACTTTAAAGAATGTGACACCTTCACCATTATGTATAGTCAAATAGTGTTGTTTCATGATCTGATTGAACCCGTTCGTACTTGAAAAGTGAATCTTATGTTTGAATTTTACCCTGCTGGCTTCACCTTACTCCACTAGTTCTGTGTCATGCTTCTGATTATTGTAGCTTAGATCAGCAGTTCTAGGTGGCAAGGGGAAAACTAAGCTAACATGCATGTGTTGCTTTTTGGTGATTATATCTTTAATGGTAGATCTATGAGCTTTTTCTCCTCTGTTCCAATTAAGCTTCTAGAAATTCAAAGCCAACTTGCTGTCTGGATGATTATATTGATTCGGGGATGCACTGGCGTCCATAGTTTACAGCTTGCAGCTCCCATTAAGAGTTGCTATTATTTGTCCTAAAGAATGCTCATATCTTTTCTGTAGCTCCCTTATTGTGGCCAGTACTTGTGGTTGCACCTTTGGCCGCCATTGTTGCCAGTCAACCTGTTATCTCTTCCACATTCTCAGTTGTCAAGTAATGCAATGCCATATGATGTTTCCCTAGCATCAAGGTTGTAGTCAAGGTTGTACATACAAAGAGATGGATACCTGGCCAGATATACATCCCTGAGTTGAGTTGGTTTCTTCATGATCCTCAGTTTGGCTGTCACAATTGGTTTTCGAGACACAATTCGTATAGCAAATGCTTATGGTATGTTAGCTTTGCTCAGAAAAAAAAAAATTATAAGATATTGTTGTTCTCCTTATTGACGAGCATGTCTGCAAAGTAGATATAAATTCATGATAGAAGTGTTTTACTGTCTGAACCATATATGTTCCATTGCTAAAGTACGAGGACTCATAATTTTTGTCAAGTGATGTCAAAATAATAGTAAATTTTGTTCAAGTGATAGTCAAAATAATATAGCCGACCCCACTTAGTGGGAAAAGGCTTTGTTGTTGTTGATAGTCAAAATAATATGTCATGTTTATTCTTTATTTTTGAAAATGAAAGCTTATCCTGCCTTTCTAATATCAGGCATTGCATTTTTGGCTGTTACAGTCATAACGACGTGGCTGGCATCGCTTGTCATCAACCTTGTTTGGCATCAGGGTTTCATGCTGTCCCTTTTTATTTCGTGAACTTTTCGGTTCAGTTGAAGCCGTCTACCTTTCATCTTTGTGTGTGAGAATCCTCAAAGGTACATGGCTTCCCCTAGTTTAAGTCTGCAGTCGTCGTGGTAGTTATGTATCACTGGCAATATGGCACGCAGAAGAAGTATTTGTATGACTTGCATAACGAGGTTTCAATGCTCACGCTGGGTCCCAGTCTTGGCATTGTTAGGGTCTCTAGAATCAGCCTCATCTACACTGAGTTGTCTACCGGAGTCCCAGAATCATTTACTCATTTCTTAACCAACCTACTGGCGCTTTTACCAAGTGATTGCCTTTGTTTGCGGTAAAACTGTTCCTGTTCCTTATGTTTCCCAGAAAGAAAGGTATCTTGTTGGTCGTATTGGACCCAAATCTTATGGGATGTATCGCTGTATGGCAGTTGTAAAGACATATGGGAAGTTTGGCACGGTGTTGGTTATGGCACAAACATCTGGCCTTGGAGAGAGCAGCTGTTCAAGTTCTGCAGCCATTGTGAGCAGCGCCAAGTGTCCTGCGCTGCAGAACTTGCAGGCCATCTATGAGCAAGAAGCGCACTCAACTACTAGGCAGGCGTATGGATTCATGCAAAATGCAAGGACTCAAAGGAACAGCTCCGGGCCTGGAATCATGAAAAAAAGGAGCAAAAACGAGAGTTCAGAGTCAAATCAAGAAAGCAGGACATCATTTATTTGAAATTTTTGACAGTAGACAGAGAGGAATTGTGGTAGATTAGACAAGCCAAAGGGTCCAAATCAAATCAAATTTCCAGCTTAAAAGCAACCAGCAATCCAAATTCAACTTTCAAACCATATTTTATTATCAAATTTGTCAGCTTAATCAATTTTAGCAATCCAAAATACAACACTCAGCAATCCATATTACAACAACTTGTTCCAATCCTGGAAAATTCCGACAGAATCGAATTACACTTCCAACAATAACCTTGTATAAGATAATTTTAGTACTAAATAGCGGCAGTTGCACAAATAAGATATCAAAC